TGAGAAATGAGAAGACTGAAGAAGTGATGGGTAGATAGAATACCGATGATATTATGGAGGTGCAGGAAAAGAGGGTGGCTGAACCTGTATGGTTGTGTTAGAAGGGGGAAGAAAAAGTGTGAAGGTAGAATAGTTAGGTTGACAATACCGAATACGTAGGAAAGGATCTTGAATTGCAAAGGCCACTCGACTCTTTGGCTGAAACTACCGACAGTAGGTTTACAACCTAGACTTATGTCTTATGGGATAGAATAAAAAGATCGGTTGGTTGCCGGTTGGGATGTCAGTGCACTATTTGTTTCCATCTTTGACCTATACGCTTGGCAACATCATAGTCGTAATTGGGGGGGGTCTAGGGGGCGGGCTTAGCCTAATAAAAAAATGATGCGGATCTATATTGATTTCATCAAGTAGTTGATAATAAGACTAATCCAAAGACACACAAAAAATATAATATTTAATGTCTACTAAAAAAATTACAAAATATGTACCTTAATAATTAATAAACATTTGGGCAACTATATTGCTAAAATGTCGGGGGGAGGCTGTAGTCATCACCAGCTGATATTCCATGAAAAGTAACCCGTGAGGTCGTTGCCTCCACACCACTATAAAAATATTCATTTGAAAATATAAAAATTAGAAGAAAAAATAAATTTCTTTTTACTCATGTTTTATTGTTGACAATAACAACATACTGTCTGTACCTATATAATAGCTAAATGTAAATAATGTAAATGTAAATGTAAAGTTTTCGAGGGGTTGTGCTTATGGTTGTGCGTGGGTCAGAGAGAAATAAATAGTGCACTAAAAATGTGACATCCTCTTAAGTGTTATCAAGTTAAGAGGGGTGGGTTCACTCTGCACCGTGATTATTTTACACGACATGGTATAGTGTGAACCCTCCTTAAGAAGCTGTTAATTGTTGATATTTAACATTAACTGAGGTAGTGGTATGATTGGAAGTTAAAGTAATAAGCAGGGCTGTGAATTGAATGCACTTTTTGTTTATGATTATTTTCTGAAAAAAAATTGTATTTATCGGTAAATCAGGTCTAAATTGGCTATAATATACATTAATAATTTTTTACAAACTAGAAAAATAATGATACTTAGCTAGTATGTGAATAAAGAATTTTTTTTTGTAAACCTATATAATTTGTATTTATTAATTTCAATAGTTTTTTAAGAATGGCTTTTTTTATAGAGCATTTTATCGAATAATTTTAGTGCATATTTAAAAATTGTTTAGTGCATTCAATTCACAGCCCTGCTTATTACTTTAACTTCCAATTAAATTAAAATTAAAATTTTTAAATATGCACTAAAATTATTCGATAAAATGCTCTATAAAAAAAGCCATTCTTAAAAAACTATTGAAATTAATAAATACAAATTATATAGGTTTACAAAAAAAAATTCTTTATTCACATACTAGCTAAGTATCATTATTTTTCTAGTTCGTAAAAAATTATTAATGTATATTATAGCCAATTTAGACCTGATTTACCGATAAATACAATTTTTTTTCAGAAAATAATCATAAACAAAAAACATCATAAAAACTTTCAATTATAAAAATGCCTTTACCCAAAATATAGACATGGGATTTTATATTTGTACAAAAAAAATAAATGTTTAATTTACATATTACTAGTTAGGTGGCCAAGAAAACATGTAATTACTTACCTAACCCATTAAATTATATGCTAAATAAGATTTCGTATTTAAACTATAAATAAACCAAAACAAATTTTGGCCGTATCCATTATCTTATAGTTTTTTATACTGTGTATCAAACAAATATGAAATTCATTTAATTCAGTACAGTTATACCATATGTTATTGATACATTTGCGGGGTTTGATTTAACTAATATCTACATTCTAATTGCAATGAACCTTGCAAAAATGTTATTCTACTAGTCTGGTCATATATATATATATATAAAGTAAAATAAGTCTATGGTAATTGTATGGTCTTTAATTTTGGTCATAGGTTTTTTTATTGTAACTTGAAAAGTTATAAATGTTTAAGCGAAAAAAGTGAAAGGGGCACGCCACCCTTTGAAGAGGGGTGGAGGAATACACACAAGGGGTGGGTGTAAACTAAAATAAAAATAAAAATCTAGCTTTCGTGGAATTAGTTCCGAACTTTTTTCTAATTTGACTTTGATAATACTATAATTAGTGTAAAAAAAATCTATATTGAAATTAATGTACAATAGTCATAAATTGTAATAATAATGTTCAAATGCATAATATATATTATAACAAATGTTTAAAAGTACACAGCAGACCACATATTTATTGGCTGCACAATATTCTGTACGTCACACAGTCTCTCTTTAAAATTATCCCGTCTACAAAATATAAATCATTTGTAAATCTAAAGACTTAATTGAGTACCTAATAGATAATTGTTCTAAAAGAGCGACGTGCCCTGTCGCCAGCTCACTAGGTGGAGAGACATTAGTCCAAGATTTGTATTAACGTCAATACTTAGTATCGAGCAAAAATATTATGTGAGAAATAAAAAACTAATGTCTCAAGTAACGGATAATCATACTCTTTGGCTTAGTGTGAATATCTGGACATTATAAGTGTACGTATCGGCCGCTGTTGCTAGATCCCGGATGGGTGACCACCCGGCATTTTTAGCAACAAATAGTTGCCACACATACAACGTGTTTTAACCAACCGTTACTACTCACTACAAACAACCTACAAGCAAAAAAACAATCTAATGGTCAAAGTTGCTGGGCTCAAGTTCAAGCTCAAGCTCAAAAAAAAAACTTATTAAGAAATGTACAATACTAATAAGTTATATTAGATAGACGTGCGCGGTCGTCTGATTAGCTTAGATCAAAATAAGAATTTATATAATTTCTTTTGTTAAAAGTATAATTGTGTTGATGACAATTTTGTGCAAATGATATCGGCTTCTTTTTTCTGTATCTAATTATACAAAATACAGAAAATCATTGAAAACAGAAATATTATTACAAAAGAGAGACTGTCGTGATCTTAGTTAAAAGTCAACACTAGGTATCCTTATATTATAACTATAACTAATAACTATATTATATTATGATATAATATTATTATATTACATAATATGTTATAATATATTATTTATTATTACTTAGTGATTATTAATTACCAAAGTCCTATTTTTAAGTCTCCAACCATTTACTATTCTTATTGGATCTCAGCTCTCTATTCAACCAGTTTTAAATGTCGCGAAACTCACTCGTTAACATTTTTTTAAGGTTCTGGAACAAAGTATTAGTGGGTGGTGTACTGGTGTGTTTCGTATGTGGTCGTGACTCTTGGGAATGACAATATTAAATAAATACATTTTACAAAATACGTAAAGTCATCTCACTTGGTTTAGGCATCTATAGCTTAGCTTAGCTGAGCCGATCGATACTCATGAATCAATAACTTTTCTATAAAGCTTAATAGTGTTGAAACATTGAGGTGCGCATACAACTATTGCAAATCTGTGTTCTGAGAGATATAACGTTAATAATGTGCATTCATTGTTGATGTAGATACCTACGTCCGTCTATAAATCTAAAAAAATGTATACTTTATGAACGAAAAGAAACTAAAGAAAGTTAAAAAGAATATATGGAAACTTTTAGAAAATAAAAATTAGAGCAGTAATCGGAAAAGTATAAATAATATTCATGAAAGTAAAATCTGATGTAAATTATACAAATGTATTTTGAACAAAATTAAAACGGTAATAACATTAATAACTAGGTGCCATACCTACTATTTAGCCAGCATATCTATAATTTATTATAATATTAAAATATATTATGAATAACTTGTTTGTGTATTTTTTATTTTATGTTTGTGGCCAACACACCATACTAAAAATTAATACTAAGTATAGGTAAAGCACCCTCCACTAAGGCCCACCAGAGGGCTCAATGAAAATTCATGGTTCCTAAAATGTTAGATTAATTTAGTTTGGGCTCCAAGTGTTCCGTACTCCTCCCCCCCCCTATTTACGTCCATACTCCATAATACATATTATATCATATTTAAAAAAAAAAAAACAAAACTACTTAACAAGAAATTAGCGATCTAAGTCCTCCTGTTCCTCAAGCTATTCTACTTTTTGTTAAAACTACCCAGAGTTAAAAAATATTCAATTGAATAAAAATAATTGTGATGGCATTCTTGATTTGGATATAATTGAGAGAGGAGAGGTGGAACACATCGTTCTGAGATCTGAACTAGCAGTAATTTAAATAAATAAAATTTACTGAAAAAAAAAATCATGTTAAAATAGTTGTGACAATTTTGTTTTCTTAATAAATATGTTACTGTTTCACTCATATTAAAATTCTTATAGTAGATAAATATACATTTTAAATTATTGACAAAATTTATAACAGTTGAGGTGTTAAGGGCGTCTGGAAATTCTTTACAATTTGTACACCCCTAAAAATATTAGTCGAGTTGCGCCTATGATCTGATATTTAAAAAATCACCCTTTATAGGTATCAAGTTAGGTATAGAACCTATGGTAAATTAGTATTTATTAGAATTAAGCGAAATAAATTTTAAATAGTACCAAAATATAATGCAATTTTACTGTCGGCATCTAGCAGTATCTCTATATATATATATATATATATATATATATCGTGTTGTCTTGCTCCAATATATGGATGGAACTCCACATTATTACAACTACATAACCATAGGACATTGTATAAAATAATAAAACGACAGGATTAGTTTTAAAAAAATAGCAAAATACACTGAAATTTGGTGTAAAATTATTTTTATAAATATGAAAAAATAAAAATACAATATCGTCTACAAATATTTATCGTTACACAATATAATAAAAGTTTTGACGTAACAAAAGCATTAAGTAGGTAATAGGTATAACTATGATGTACCTATATTATAATTAAAATATTATTATGTACATGTGCACGGAGTATAATATACACATTTATAAAACAATATTATCTATAGTAAAAAGACAATATTTTCTCCTTGTTCGAGTTGAAGTGCTACTTTGTCGCTGGACGTTGCTCGGTCAGCTGGCCCCGACAACATGGCCGTGGCGAAAGTGAGAACAATACCAAAAGCTGCAGTGTACAAACCTGATCCTAAAAAATCACATTACAAAATATATTATTTTTAAGGCAACGAGAAGGTAAAAGCACAATTGGCGAGGTATTTTCTATAAGAAACCTTACACATATATTATGTTCTTTGATATGAAGAGTGTCTGTATATTATTATCATGTAATCATGTATTTACTATTTATGTCTGCCACAAGTATTTTTTCAGTAGGTATAAAAAAATAAAAACATCACAGATGCAGCTAGAACAGCTCAAGCACCCAAAATTATGCAAAGCGTCTTCAAAATTAAAATAATATTTTGGTAATAGGCATACTTTTTTAATATTATTAATTGGCTCATTTTGCAGAGTAGAAATATTTTACCTTTCCCCCCCCCCCCCCTTAAAATTCAATAAAATGTTCACCTGTTAGGTGGACCCATGCAGTGGCGAAGCCAAGGGGGTTTTGTGTGTTTAACCCCTCCCCCATTGAAATAGTTTCCCATAATAAATGTATTATTTATATACGAGAACTGTAAAAGACTTGGTTTGATTTTTACTTACACCCCTCCCCCCACATCACTCCCCATTAAGAGATGAGATACGGACATACAGTACCTACTGCAGTAGTCTGTAGATGTACCTCGTATCCTTGACTCTCGTCATAGATGATTTAGCTTAAAATATTACCTCCGACACCTGAATGGATTAAACCTCTATACGTACAGTATTTTAATTTCGAAAAATTAATAATATGAGTAGACTGGGGAAACTGCAGGAACTACCTATAGCGGTTTATTATAAATATAATGTAATAACTAATAACTAACAAGCAATCGTATTTTTTATTTTTTACACGCCATGGACCAGGAAATCCGTGGAACGTGGAACATCGTGTCGTGACGTAAAATACAATTTGATTTTAAAAAAAAAAACTCATTATACCTATTTACGTAATAATAGATTATAGCCTATAGGTACCTATAGTATATGGCACAGTGCTCGTGTTTATGCTCATTTTAAAACTATGAATAAACATAAACTCCTATAATAATTCGTTTTCTTTATAATAATATGACGCGTTATCTTATTATTTTAAGAAGACGTCCAACCCCATGTGTTGTCTCCGTCTTACATACGTACGATATAGACAAAACGCGTTTACTCAGTCTGAGTATACAATATAAATCGTTCAATTTTGGTTCTAGGGTAAAAATACCTATTATAAAATTGAATTGTGAAGATATTTCTGAGAGCGAGTCGTTACGTTTCTTACCATTACGCCCAATATAGGTAACGTTCATTATATTGTTTAGAAATAGCAAAAATTTCTTCATTTTTAAAATACCTTTAACTTTTCAACATTTAAATTTTTTAAAAAAAACTCAACGTTTGGCCCTCAAACATATTGTCATCTCTTAGTTTTATACTAGATGTTTTTATTCTAACAGCAAAATTGAGCGAGTTCTAATCAGACTGCGTAGGTAAACGCGTTTTGTCTATGTCGTACGTGTGTAAGACGGAGACAATACACGAGGGTGTGACGTCCTCTTAATATTTTCTCCAGTTTTGATGATCAGCTAGTAGTTTAAATGTACTATTAAAGTATATTATAGGTATAAGCATCATGATCATACCATTCGTGCAATCCGCAGAGACAAAAGGCACGGATTGAGTTCCACACAGCACCACTACGCGTTCCGAACCCCAACCAGCGGCGAAACAAATTACTCCAATCAGATAGAGTAAAACTAAAAGACATAAATAAACAATTGGTCACTCGGTTATACATTTACACATTATTATATTATATAAATTCTTTACTCTATACTATACAGCGACTTTACAGTTATAAGTTCTTATGAAGTTACTGATAACGACTATTATAGAATTTAAGAATTTCGTATTTATAGTCAAAGGTAAAACTAGTTTATCATATTGTGATAAATTATATAAAATATTACATAAATTACTATACCATATGATATTTATAGTCGTCCTTATCAATGAATATCCCGAGCTCATAATATTGTATTCATAATATTACTTACCTATTATAGTTCTCATTATAAGATTATCATGAATTGTGGTCGTTTAAATTTGTATATTATTATTATATTGGTCATTTATACAGTTTTTTCATTCCCTTATCATTACACTGCTGCAGTATTATTTAGTGTTTTCTTATTAATTAAATAAATAACTATTTTCACTTCTTAATACAATCGGTTACCTATACATTTGAATTTATTGATATGGTAATTGGTTCTTTGTATTTACATCTTATTAAATTATTGAACATAATATGATATATTTACCTACACGGACAATATAGTTATTCAAAGTGTTCCATGTATTTTTTTTTTTATTAACTTATTTATCATAGTTTATACTAGTGGCTTTAAAAAAAAAAAAAATTAACTTATTAATTGAATCTAAGTTAAGTTGGTGGTATTTGTTAACTATTTAGGTAACCTTTAAGTATTCAAAATGTCTATAAATTTCATTTTTAATTTAATTTAAAAAAAATAGATGAAGTACTTAACTGAACTAAGTTAAAAATTGCATAAATTTGCCCAGCCTTGGGACGTGGATGTAATGAGACCGACAATGTTTTTAATTTTAATTTTATTTTTTATGAATTATTCCTAAAGTAGACACAATTTGATCGATTTGTAAATTGGTATGCACCAGTTGAGGAGGAAATAAAATAATACCTTAATCTGTCAACGGGGAGTTCTGATTCCCCCATGGATTTACTTTTAATTTTTATTTTGTTTACTAACCGCAACTGGCAGATTTATAAGTAGATTACATAATTTTATAAAACCTAACAGTGTTAGACTCAGAAAACGTTGAGACTTTAGATAGTAGAAATTATAAAATAAAGTGCAATCAAGTACAATAATACTAAACAATTTAATTATTTTAATATAATTACGTAATAATAAAATATGAGGTATCATTATTAATCAAACGAAGCATATGGTGCAGAAGATAGTTATGACTTATGACTATATACGAAGTGGAATACTGGAATTGGAAAATATTTGGAACTATACTATTAGAAGAAACATGAAATTTTATGTTTGGTAAATATGTTTGATCAGGTAGATATGGTACATCCAACGAATCGTTGAAAATGGAAGAAATTAACTTGGTATGTAACTATGTAATTTACAAATTATGGTACTCTATAATTTCATATATATATATACCTAGTCTATGTTTTCAGGATATAATAGGTACGCCACCATTAGGTGCCTCGAGTAAGTATAGCTGCACGCGAAATACGGCAATTTATATTATATTACACGTACCGCATAACGTTCCATATGCCCATAGTATGTGCTGTAATAAGCTATATTATTATATGAAATACTTGATGGTTATTCTATGATAATCAGATAATATATATATATTTGAATTTTGATTATTACCAGCTAGTCCTTGCCCAGAACCAGCTATCCCGAACACGCTTTTCTTCCTTATCGATTGCTTGCAAAAGCTGCCCACGGCCATGGCGGACATTAAAAAACTGACGAAAACGCCAGCAGACATCAACACTAAGCCGATCTTCCACACGAACGGGAACATCAACGAATCCGTGGCTAGTCCTTCGACGGCGAACGAACCGCAGTGCTGGTGGCCATTGATTTTCTTACACCGGTAGTAAATGCCAACGGACGGACGGCAGCGCACTTCGTAGTACGGTGAATCCAAGGTGTTGTTCGCTGTGGACATACACAAAAGAATCCGACGGTTATTAATTGCACTGAGATAGTGCACTAGTGCAGTATGCGAGTCAGTATTGTGAATTATTTTACCAGTATTGTACGTTGTAGTATAATGATGAAATATTTTAGACGTAGGTAAAGTGTAAATTAGTCAACTGTATGGTAAAATTTAGAGAGGCTTAAAGATATTTATTAGATAATAATGTTAATATTATTATATAGATATTGTTTTAAAATTTCTGAAAAGCTTAACTCCTAAAGTCTCTAAAGTCCACTATCCGTTTCCCAAATATTGAATATTATAGTAACTTAGACATACTGGCAAAAAATGTGACCTAGATGAACAATTAATGGTTCCGAGGCCGTCTATGTGGTTGGATACTGTCTTTAAGCGTAATATTCTTAAATAGTTAAATACAATGTCCGTTTAATTTTCATGAACTTACTTTCAGTGGATAGCGATTTACTGGATATACAGTTGTAATCAGTAGGTCCGACGAGCCATTTCGGCGAGTAAATGGCCGTGAATAGAGTAATGGTGGACACCACACTCAACGTCACCCACAGTAGACTTTTGGCGGTTAGAATGAAATACATCTGCACAAACAAATAATTAATAATATTATATATTATAATATATTATATTTTGTTTTTAATTAATTTGGTAATCTTAACATTACAATTTTTTTTTACCTATCCAACGAATATATTTTCTTTAAAAAATTAATATAATATAAAGTAAATAGATACACTGCTATTATAATAATATAACAGAAAATGCAAATAAATATAATATTATGTATGTAGTATATTATAATATTAGTGGGTAATTAGTGTTGAGTTCACTTTGTATTATCTCTGATATATTATGGGAGATAATAAATTGGATATCGCACGAACGCAGTATTGTCCATATATATATAGACGTGCATCGTAAACAAAGCATATGCCGAGGTAAAGGGCCCCGGGTTATTTTACCAAATTAAAAACGTTAAACCCGTCGTGGGGAACCTCCACCGCAGCTACATTATAAGCGTATATAACACAGCGGCTCTCGTTTGATTATTGCGGCGAAACCGCCTTATAATACTACATAGTACAATAGTACATACTATATAGATATGAATATAGGAGGTGTGCGCTGCACGAATAACCGGCCCCTCTGATATAATAATAATATATGGTCTACACGTGTTCGTATGGTGCCAAAGTGACGTTTGCTACACATCGACCACAAAAATTCACGTATAATATAACTGTATGTCTGTATACGTTTAATATTTTAATAACAACATAACAAACGATGACGTTATAATGAAATATATTGGTGCTTCTTTAATAGATGGGAAAAAAAGGTTTTCATCCACCGTCTGTGCACATAATAATAATAACAATAAAACCTATTCCATTATAATATAGCCCTTGTATAGGTATATCTGTGTTACAATATGTGTGTGTCGAGTGACTCATGTCTCGTAACATATATATATATATGTTTATTCTGTAGCATGTAATATTATATACCCTCTTATTGCGTTTACCTCCATTCGTCTTGAGTCACAAACACGAGGCATCCCGACCCTGCGCGCACTCATCAACCCTCGAAAAAAAAAAGAATTCCCCCGACGAGCGGTCGAGACGGTCTTACACTCTGCAGCGAGCACTGCACCTGGTTCAGACTGCTCAACTGCTGCATGACGGGCGATGTGTGAGTGTGTGAACCGCGCTAGGAAACCGACGACAACGATAATAATACAATAATAATAATTTAATTATATTACCTATGCGCTGCGCATATATTGATATTGCCCGTCGCATACCTATATTGTTTTATAATTTTGTCCATGTCCGAAAACAACACCGGAACAACACTATTGGAATTTCCTTTTGACATTACTACTATAGGTAGGTACCAATAATATTATATTATTATATTATACTGCGCAGGTGTCTATATACAATACGTTTATATTGTCGTTATACCATCTTCATTATAATATAAAATATATTATATATATTATATATGCGCCTGCACTTGAGCGTAGGTACCTATATTGTGATTTCGTTATTAAAAGAATACGCATACGTAGGTATATGTATACTATAATATGAGTATAAAATAATATATTAGAGAGAGGTAGCTATAGGCCACTCGGCACGAATAATAATTCGATATTATTCTGGACGGCATGTGGTGTGCGGCCGTGATTTGAAAGAGAAAAATATACACCCGAATAAAAAAAGGAATTAAAAATGGCGTTTAAATATTCACGACGTAACAGGAGACCCTTAATGTGTTTTTTTTTCTGTTTTCTTAACCGGCTACAAATAATAAAAGAACGAAAATTAAAACCAGCTACATAATATTGACGTCTTAATTTACATCATCAGACCGGTATATCATAAGTCATAACGCACTGCACATAATATTATTTATTATGTTGAACTGTAGAATACTAAGGTGGTAGGTACAATATAAGGTGATTTTTTATAAGGTGAACCCCCATTATTGAGAATAGTAATAATAATATTGGAAATATTTTTTAAGTTGTTAACTTTTTAAAAGTTAGCGTACATTTTTAATTTCATATAACTTAATATCATATACATTTCTGAGCATTTCAATGTATAAAAATCGAGTTCCGAACGAGTATACCTAGTTAATACTTAATAATACATTTGAATTTTAAACTCTTGAAAAAATATATTCTGTTTGGGCGCTTAAAATAAAAAATGTTTACTATCATTCAAAAAATTAAAAATTAAAAAAACAATAACGGTAAAAATATATATTTTTTCAATAATGTTGATTTTAATAACATCAAATTTTAAAATATTTCCAAAAATTAAAACTTTGAAAAAATGAGCGTGAGCCGTGAACGTACCTCTACATTGTCGATCTAAATCGAAAAACACGCGTGACTGTGAGACGAAATAGAATCACCTTGTGTATATAATATAAAATTGTAGCTCTAAACTCACGTGTTCTTCTCTGTTGCTCAGGGCTACATTAATATAATATATTATTATAAAATATTATAATAATATCTACCTATATCATAATTTGTGAAATATGTTTATACTCTATTATATATTATGCAGTCCAGTGTCCACACGTGTAAAATAGGTATAGTGTACTACTATAGTAGGTGAGTATACACTCAATATGCCCGACAACTGTATATTAATGTGGTGCACTGACGCGTGCACTTTGTCGAAATATTTCGTAGTCACTATACACAGTGAGTAAGCCTTATATCATATCATAGAACAGTATATATATAATGTATAATGATCATATTATATCACTATATACTAGGATATTATGATCTAAAGAGTAAAGAATAAACAAACTCACGTATACCTGCAGCGGTTATCGCAGTCTAGTAAATCATAATACTTAATATAATAGGTATGGTCTATGACTATACAGTATTATAGGTACAGGCAGGGGCGTGTTCAGAAATAAAAAATGGGAGGGAGGGGCACAAAAATACACAAAATATGTAATCATAATCAACTATACTTTTAGATCATGTATAAATTGTGTCTTACATAAAGTGTGCCCCTTGTGCCCCCATAAATACGCCAATGTTGCCGTTCAAGTATGAAGTATACTAAATTATACTATAATATGCTTAAGTACAACCATTGATTAAAAATACTAGAACGTACAATTAATTTTCAGTGCCCAATCTTGTTTTTTTACGGAAAACAGAGCTTTGGGAATATTTTTTTCAAAAAAATATAATTTATAACGCCAAATGGCTCGTACGGAGTAATTTTATAATTTTGGTACCTCAGAATTTACATATTACTATGGGGAATAAAACAGTTTGGAAAGAAATACACATTATAATATTTGTATGCCTGCATGTAAATCAAATAATAAAAAAAAAAACATAATAGGTACCTACATTATAATGTATATAATATAATATAATATTAGGTAGGTATAGAAGGTATGTATCTACTATATGTATAATATGGTTATCGTTCTACATCAATGTTGATTGTTGAACACAATGTTTTGTTGTAATTCGTTGTGTCGTCCCAAAAGTGTCAACATAAAAACTGATTTATATATTTTAATATGTATATGATAAAAGTATAGAAATATGTATTAAACATACACATAACTTAAACACGCTATGCATTTATAGTTTACCACATTAGACTCTGCATACGACGGACTTTCTAATATTTATTTTATGAGTGACGGACGATGACGAACCACTGTGCAAAACTAAATGTGTATAAATATATACTATAATGTATATTATAATATATACATTTTAATTGTAGCTAGATTAAATCATTTTATACAAATCGGTATAGCACCACTTTATAGCCAAATTTAAAAATCCGTACCTTTTTCGTTTTTCCTTTACTTAAAATAACTTAATTGTAATATATTATAAATATGTTGATCGGGAATTGATAAAATATATTGACTATATCCAGAGTAGGTATTCAATACGATGACGATGTGATTCGAAAAACTCGGGTTGGGAAGCGATCTAGAGATAAAAATGTATACAAGTGTGTATATAGTATATCAAGCAATAGCCAATAACCCATCTTTCGTTGAAACAAACCGATACATTTCATATGAATAAATATTGTGAAACTTTTAGTAGTTATTAAGTAATTTCAAATATAAAACTTCTTAAAATAACTAAGTAGGTAGGTAAGTTTGTCACGTGTAGAATTAAGTTGTGAAATCATTATTTTTTCTATTCTGATACTACATATTTAACATACATTAAAATAAATTTACAATAACTCACGAAGTTGTATGTGTTATGTAGATGCTTAAATGTATACAAATTACATATTATACATACGCAATTAAAACAAGAGTTAAACCACAGATGCCTATGTCCTATATATTTACAACAAATTATTTTTAAATCATGTTTTTATATATACAGGTACGTATCGATATTTTAAATTGTATTTGTCAAATGTCAATTAATATCAAGTTTGTTTTTGTTAATCGTCTCTACGTCTAATTACGAGTGAATATTTTATTCGAGTTTAACACAACTAAGCGCGCTGTGCAACTGCAGTCTACAGTTCATCTGAGCAACCGGTTTGAAATTTGAAAAATCGCATACTGCAGGATAAAAAAAAGTTACCAGACGGAATAGAGAGAACGATAAAATAAGAAATCGAAATAGAAAATATTTATCATCACAGTTTAAAACATTTTATATGCCTACCAACAAATATACCTATACATAATTACAAACAATGGTTTATATTTTATAATATAATAATATTGTAATAAATAATAATATAGTACCTTCAAGTGCTGTCTTTAACAAACATTAATACACTTTTTAAATTATTTAAATTAGATTATGGATAAAACATTAATATAGTTAGCATCGTTTACATAATCATAGTCAAGTATAATAAGTATCGTACTCCATTTGAATTATTGAAATATTATAGTACCAGTATCTACCTACGAAATAAGATGTCTTTATATACCTATATTTTTTTTTTAATTGATTCTATCAATCGATAACATTATACTGTTAACTGTAACATGACTATTTATTGCATTACATTTTCAAAGGTAAAATATA